AGGTGGAAGCTCCCGGCTTCTTCCTCCCAGCAGCGTTGTAGTACTCCTGTCTCTTATACACATCTAGATGTGTATAAGAGACAGCATACACACACACACACACACACATACACACAAACATACACACACACATACACACACAAACGTACTAACACTCTAATCTCGCTGATGTGGCGGCTATGGCCGCCGTCTCTCTCCTCTACTGGCTAACTATTGGCTATGGCCGATCTTCCTCCTCTTAGCCCTCTTCGTCAACGGGCACCTGCAGACCTCCGCACACAAGACACTTCGACACCGCTTCCGCACGGCTCACAGGCAGAATGAATGAATGACTGATCGCTGCCTCTTTATTTATACTTGGGATTGTCGCTGGTCTGCCCCTCTCCACCGGGCCCAGTGTGCACAGGGTCCCACATGGTACTTGCTGACTTGACAAGGTGCGACTGGGACTGGGTTCCGCTGACTAAGCAAGATAAGACTATCCCACTTGACCACTTGCCTACGGACTGACTACTATGACTCACGGAGGGCGAGTTCTACCACAAACAGTGAAGGGACCTCTCCTGAGGATGGTGGCTGTGCCCTCCCATTGTTTCATTGCACAGGTACAGTACGGTTGGCATGTACACGGCATAGCCTCTGCTCCAAAGACTATGAAGGGATGGCCGCTGCCAGCCTCTCCCATGAAAACTGCGATTCCTTGTCTTGTGCTCATTACCCCCACCCCCTGATTACTTGCCCAGCATGCCGCTGTGGCCTCGATCTGCCATGCTTAAATAACTGCGTTCGTCAGCCTTCTATCCTGATGACATCTCAGCAACATGCCATGTGTCGTCAATGTTTCCAGGAAGCTGTCATAGAAAGTATGTGTCTTTACTGCGTGGACTTCCCCAGTGCCATCATTTGCCACATCCTCTCCTAGCATGTCCCACATGCGGTGTTGATCATACACCTGCAGTAACAGCAGACGGATCTCCTTCTTCCTTGTCAGACGAACGACAGACACAGCAGCCCCAGGAGGAAAATAGACTTCTATATGAACCACCTGCAGAGCGATGTGCTGATAGTTCATCTCCACCAGGGCGAACTGTTGCGGACCAAATTCTGGAGCAGCTGAACACCCTTGCTTTGGACCTATCCTCCCTGTCGTTATCTGCCCATAGAGAAGAAATCAATACTGAGGAAACCCAAGAAAGATAGCTCCTTTGTGATGACCTGCCGGAGATTCAACTAGCATGTGGTTTGCATGCCCTGTGCCGTGAGGATTATGAAGGGATGGTCCATGCAAGTTTTTGCTTTTATAGGTACAGCAACAGTCAGTACTGTACTTGTGTATGGCACCCTGACTTGTCATGTCCAATTTGTAGACAGCGGGTGGAATGGCAATGCCTCTATAATTGTGGTCGACGTGCCTCCGTGATCCTACCATGTAGGAGCCACGTAGCCTGTGACATCTGTCTGCGCTGTGCCATTCGATGCAGCAACTGCGACTGCGAAAATTGGATGCGGCGCTTCCACAGTACACACACGAACCGGTCCTGTCCGGTTTGTAGGGGTGGCCACTTACCTTAGGCAATAGCTGCTCCTCAACTCAAAACTCTTTTGCAACCCAAACACTAAACCTCATGTGTCATTCTAGTGTTACCATCCTGGCCAATTTCGAAGTATGCATTCGTCAGAAAGTACAATGCCATCCAATTGCAAAAGGAAATGAATGAACTTGAGAGGAGAGAGAGGGAAAGAAGAAGAAGAAGTAAGAAAGAAGAAGAAGGTGATGTACTCCAGCATAGACCAATGACAAGGCTCTTCTTCTTCGCCAACCAATCTTCTCCTCCTCATCTCCTCCCCTCTTATTCAAACAAGAAATAACAATAATAATGTTGACTGAACCAGAATCAATGTCCGAATCCCACGTCTACTGCAGGCACAACATGAGGTCCACCGTAGCCATGGCCACCCTTCCTCTTCCTCTACATACAGGCCGAGGCAATGGCGGCGTACTGAGGGCTCTCCCTCCTGTCCAAAGGACAATCTAAAGCAGCTATGTCGCGGCCCCTTCTGTCCCAAGGTTAACACCATGCAGCTATACCGCTGACCACTCAACCGCCATGCCTGACTCTGTCCCGAGCTTCCTTGATGCGGCACTACCCCCACTGGGGCCTTCCAGATGCAGCGCCTAACAAGGTGTTGAAGATGGTGTCTACCATAGCCAGGTAAGTACCTCACCACTCTCCTCCTTGGTCCCCTTCTCCCTCCTCCTTCTACCGGTAGAGCTCCACCATAGCCAAGGTGGAAGCTCCCGGCTTCTTCCTCCCAGCAGCGCTGTGGTACCCAGCGCTCCAGCAGCGTGTCGCCAAACTTGCACACT